CCATGTGGATGCTAGTGTTGATGTTAGATGAGAAGAATACTCACACCACACCCAAACCCACACTGCACTCACACTCACACCCACGCTACATCCACACCTGCACTCTAACATATTACACAATTCTCTACTTCATCATTTTACTTTCAGTATTAAATTAAGCAAGGCGCATCGAGTCGTCACATTATTTGTTTATATGTTAGTTTCTGTTCATAGGAGTTTTTCGCACGATAAATTGATTTTCTTCATCAAAATGTCATAAATTATTGTCCTTTAAACGAGACAGCATATGTATATCCATGCTTCAAAAAGCCAACTTCCGACCAGGAGTTTAAATAGCGCTGAACAAGTTCTCGCTCGATTGATGGACAGGATTTGAGCGCCGTTGATCGTCGGACACTTTTTACTGTGCTATATTTGACGAGTTCAAACTTCTTGCCTTCAGCAAAAATCTTTTCGAAGAAACCCGCTAGTACATAAGCTGGATTGTTTGGACTGGAGAGCAACATGCGCAACCAATCTTTAATGGGCACCACTTCAAACTGAAGGCCAGATAACTTCAAATGTTCTAGTAACTGAGACCAACTGATTGTATATGGACTGAGAATGTGGTGTACGCGCTCAGAAGGTGGTGCTGTTCGTGTGGTAGCATCCATAGCTATATCAGAAACAGAAGCTGCGCCATAATTGACCGGAATCCAGTTAATTCGTTGATAATTTTCAGGCAATACTCCTAATTCTCCTCCTCCCCCACATATCATTATGGAAATCATCTCATTGGTGTTCCATACGCCCGTTTCACTGTCACCAGAAATTTGCCCAAAGCGATAGATATCGACAGGTACATCTAAATTATTATACACAAACATAATTGTTGTTGATGAAAACAAAGGAAAAAAAATCAAAAGCTCAGAACGGGCACAGTCTGATGAACTGTGCGGATTTTCTGATGCACTGAATATAGTGATGTACCCAATCTAAAAAGACAATTCAAGAAAAGAACTTTCCAAAAAATGCACGAAGGAACTTACAACGAAAAAATTTGACTATCTCCGTCAGGTATCGACCAAATGAGCAAATATTTTTAACAGTAATAGAAACTTACTTAAAGCGTTTTTTTCCATAAGAAGAAGGCTTGTAAATACTATTTTAAACTACTACGTTTAGCTAAAATATAAAAATTTAATATTTACGGGAATGGGATGAACGATATTCCTCTCTAACAAATGACTAGATTGGAAGCCATAATCAAATGAAAAATACTTTGAAAATATCGTTCGTTCCATTCCCGTAAATATTAAATTTGCATATTCTAGCCAAACGTAACAGCTTGAAATAATATTTACAAACTTTCTTCTTATGAAAAAAACGCTTTAAAAGAGGATATGGATGTGGGTTTAAGTAAAGAAACGATACATCCACATCCTTACCCATCCCGATCTTTGAAAATGCAAACTAACTGTGAACTCGTTTACTAGTACCAACTGTAGTCAAGTTTTATGATATTTTCAGCAAGAAAATTATTTTTGAATGCAGCTCAGCACATCTGCTTCTGACTCACCCCACAGATCCATAGCTGCCCAACACATTTGTTCGCCAGCATACTTTGATTGACCATATCCTCGAGGAAGAGAAAGACCTTCTCGACGTGGTAGTGGTTCTTCTTCAATTTCTTCAATTAAACCAGAGCCCGCAGAGCTGATACTTGAGATAAAATGAAAACGCATTGTTGATTGTGTTAAAGTGTTCGATGCAAGTTTGAGCAAATGATAGAGACCTTGCAAGCACTCTCGATCAAAATCTTTGATAGTCATATTGAAGTCCATTTTCCAAGCCGAATGAATAATATCAGTGACCTCGTACTGTAATTGTTCATATATGGCTAATGTTTGACCCAACTTTTCATCATTTAGATCCATTGACAAGACGACGACTCGATTCGTGTCAAGTAACACTGTTAAATCTTGTTTGCGTGCTTGCATGGCACGGTGAAGCCGATCCGTAGCATTTTCACCACGTAAAAGACAATAAACTCGCTTCACTTGAGGCTTTTTCACCAAGTTCACCATTATATGGCTACCAAGTGATCCATTGGCACCAGTAATCAAAACTACTCGTTTGTCTGACGCGTTGTTATCTAAGTCACTCGAGATTTTTTCTGAAGCCATAGTCATTTGATCTTTATGTGTTTTCATTAAATCGATATATTTGTCGATGGTTGCTTCTGTTTCCTTATAGTGTAGCGGATCGTTTGAAGTTCGACCTTGTTGTTTGTTCGTAATTCTTAAGAGCTCATCCGCTAGGACGTCAATAGATGGAAATTCAAAGATGATGTTTTGCTCAAGTTGGCCAAATTCAAAGCAAAGAGTGTTACGTAGTTGTATGGCAGTAAGTGAATCTAGTGAGAGAGAGTGTAGCGATTTTGTGTAGTCCGCAAAGGTTTCGATTGGCTTATTGAGAACGCGAGCCACTGTTGATTGAAGGTAGTTACAAATTCTGTCTTTTGTCCAAGAATGTTGTTGATAGGGGCGTTCGGTATAGCTGTCTGTTTTGGACGTATTGAAAAACTCTTCATACATTTTTTCAATTATTTCTGTGTATTCTAGCTCAGCCGATTTTCGAATGACGTTGCCCTTTGCCGTAATTGGTAAACGTTTACTCATTGGAAGAATTTTCACCATAGCTGGTGCTATCTGCGAATGGGAAGGTGCGTCTTTATTGGCTGCTTTCACCGCAGTTAAAACTTGCTTTTCGATTTCACAAAGTTCATGCTTAAATGCTTCTTCAGTATTAAGTTGGATAAGGACGGCGCAGCACAAACGATTGTGGCCAAGCACAACAACACGCTCGACGATACGGTGTTGTCGGATAACGAGTTCCATTGGTAGAGCACTCGTTTTTTCCCCTGTCACATGCACTAAAATATCATCTTTGCGACCTTGAATTGTGTAATAGCCCGATCCAGGTGGCTCTTCAATAAACAGATCACCAGGAGAATAGGGACCATTTTTAGCGAAATCGGGTGCTAAAAACGGATCAGTCGGCAGAATAAAAAGTTCATAAATATTAGAATTCGATTCTGTTGGCAAGAATTTCATGTATGGCTGGCGAGTAAGCATCGGCTGTAATCTCTGCCATTGATCTTTATCTGCCGTATTATATTCGCTGGCAAGCAGGAACCCTGTTTCTATATTAATTATCAAAAGAAAATAGTCAATATTATTGTCGACATATCACAAAGAAACAGGCATCAATGCATTGTTGATATAACTCGTACTAGAATTATAGCAACCGTATATGCGTGTTTTAAAAGTTTCTGGGTCACGTTGAAAAAGACATCCGCCTATTGTTATCACTAACGTTTATACCTGACGTATATGCCGAACAATTTTTGGGCTAGAAACGTCTGTGAATAGCTGAAACCTGTGAAAAAACTGTACCTCTCCAGGCTCAAAATACAATAGCTTTAGAGTATCTTTAAGTCGTTAAACAGACACATACATATATTAACTTCATAAACCCGTAAGGGCAATTCTATACATTGCATATGAGTGTCGTAAACCCCTATCTAAACTCTTTGTTCGTACGAACGACAAGTAAAACTTATTCGATATTATTTCAGATGCATTAATACACCAGCAAGGCATTTAAGATTTCACAGAGAGCGTATTTGTCGAAGTGCTCAGAGAAGCTTAAGTGTCAGCCGTCAATGTTGATGAAATCTCATCAGAATAAATGAAACTGAAAAACGATCTAAAGAATGTTAATGCAGGCTATTGGTAGACGGAAGATTGCTCATAAATATAACAAGTAAATGTTTATCACATACAGGATTGCTTCTGCAATGTGCACTTCTAACGGTTCGAAAAAGGTATCTAGTTCTTAAATCAGTCTGACATGTAAATAACACTATGAATTCTAATTAAACAAAGAGAACCGTCGTTTTCTATTAATCTCCATAATCTATGATAAAAAGAAACATTGGAACTTCTATCGAACGAGAAAATTCGCAATCAGATAATAAAATTTTTTCTAAAAATTTACTGCATTTATTTAATCTCGGCATCGAGAACAGCAGCGATATAAATATAAAATACAAACGTAAAAAACTTCTTATATAAAATCGGAGAATAGTATAACCTTCTCTTATCCATCATGATTCCTCACGGGTAAAAATGAGACGTGAAAACAGTCATCTGCCTTATGATCGACTACCACCGAATTTTTCAGAGTCAAAGTTATTAGGCTATAGTAACTGAAATGAATTTGTTTAGGAAATGAACTGGAAACATGTGGGCACAACAACTGACGATGCAAGCATTGAAACAGGTCGTGAAATAATCTGAGTTCAAAATGTTCTATATTTTGTTGAAAAGCTTATTTTATGATTCCACCTTATTTTGAAAAATAAAGAAGATTATATTCGTTGAATTAAGTATACAATTTGTAGAGAATTGAACGAAGATTCTTTTGATAAAAAAATGACGTCTGTAAATTCAAAAGGAGACAGGAAAAACTGAGAATAAAACAACGTCATTCCTTTTGTAACACGCGTTATAATGAAGCAGTAACGATTTGCAGTTATAAAACTCAACTTTCTTTTGGATTAAACGGGAAGTTAAGAATATCCACGTTTGATTTAACAATCACTGACCTGTTGAACCATAACCGATAACGAGGTTTACACCTCGCTCGGTCAATTGTTTGCCGATATGAGGCGAACAAGCTGCACCACCGCAGGAGACGAACTTTAAACGAGCTAGCATCTGAAAACCGATGTTGTCGTCCTGATGTAGTAATAGAATCAGCTGTTCAAGAAATAATGGTACAGTAGCCAAAATAGTGCTCTTTGAATGTTGAATGCTAGCCAATATTTCTTTAGGAGATGGTGGAAACGAAGTTGCCAATGGTAGTGCACATGTTCCTCCCACATATAACATTCTGAGTGAGAGTGACACCCCACCCATATGAAACCTAAAAAAATGAAACAAATCAGTCTATAATTTGTAAACAAACAGATCACTAGAAGTCAAGATCAAAAAAGCAGACTTCTATTCAAGATACTTTCTGAGAACAAGAAAAAACCTCAGAAACTAACGAACTCACGGACAGTACAAAAGATCTAGAAATACCGATGAAAATGACATAAAATCAAGAAACATCTGGTTTTAAGAGCTTTTGGAAATTAGTATGAGAAAAAAACTTGGAGAAATTCAGAAACTACTGAAAAAATCCGAAACTTCTTTTTACAAAGCAAAATCTCAGGAACTTCAATCAAATTTGGAAGACGTAGAAGAATATAAAATGAACTCCAAATTAAAGGTTTTCTAGAATCCGATGTCTCTCCCTGGTGTCAATCTCGAAGCGTATACGGTCTTTTTCTAGGTAGTATTTCCGAATGTTACAGGTGTCCCGATAATTGGTCTCTGCCGATCTAATATGGAAATCTTAGAAACTGCGGTCACTCTGTTCTTTACAAAGCTTTTTTATTATTATTGCCTAATTTGTATACTGTGAATGAGGGATAGCTGATATATCTAGTAAACCAACTTTCTGAATAAGTAGTTGATTTCATTTGTTCTGAATAGCAGATCAGCTTCGGTGAATGTTTAGAGTAGAAGGTTGCGCTAATACGAGTACATAATGTAGTCTATAAAAGACCCAACCTACAACATATGAACATGAAGCCATTCAGTGAACCTATAATTTCATGTACTAACACTCAGGTACCCCTAAAAAACCTGCAATTCAGAATTCATGTACTCTCGTCTACTTTCTTGCGCTCTAAATCCTCTCTTTTACAGAGTGCATTATGTGCCAGTTCTGGTACGGCTTTGTTTGAACATTATTTAAAAGTATGTGCATCTTTCAGAAAGTGATTCAAGAAGTTACCGTGAGAGATTTCTTGATTTCGACTCTCCACGTAACGTTTCTTTGCGTAATGTCTTTGAGGAAATAATGATACCGTCCAATACTCTATTCATAAAATGCTCAATATCCTTATTCATACGTTACGTTACGACGGTGAGATCAAACTTTATACTATCCATCAATGATCATCTACTTGTCATATTATTAACTGAGAAATTTGAGGACACTGTTGACTGTAAAAATCTTCTAGAAAGTCTTCGAAACCTAATCCCATACCATCGAAAAAATATCTCAGGCCAAAGTATCAAATAACACTTACAAAGGCAACAAGGTCAATACAGTGTCTTCATCTGTCCATAGGTCCTTGTTCTTTGGTACATAGCTCTCGAAATAACCAAATAAACATCGAGTGCTCAAGCGAATTGGTTTTGGGTACGATGTACTACCCGAACTAGAATAGAAGAACAGTTATACAAGAAGAACTTGCTAATTTCTTTGATCAACAACTTGCATACCTATGTAAGATGATCCGAATTCTATCGAGCTCATCTGTGTCAAGTGTCGGTATAAAAGTGGATTCTTCATGAGCGACAAGCTCTTCGATATTGATTTCTTCCAATAGGTGTAGACCGACTGTGGAACCAAATTTGCTATTAACCTTTTCGGCCATTGTCGAATATTCATTGGAGTAGCACAAATGTGATACATTTGAGTTCTCGAGTAAATGTACAATCGCAGCTTCTGAGTTTCTAATGCTCAGTGGGTATACGATAACATTCAGCTTGAGAAAAGCGTAGATGATTAGTACATAGTTTGCATTGCTGTTTGCCAACAGACAGACAACCGAAGTATCTTCTATTGAGTTTTGCCCCATTTGTGTAGAGAGCTTTTGCGCCAGATGATTGGTGACCTGGTCAAATTGTTTGTAAGTGAGTGTTGCGTACGTTTGTTGATCTGTTTGACTGGGATATAAGAAACACGCTCTGTCTGGGCGTGTTTGTGCCTGCTTATGTAGCAGGTCACTAATCGATGAAATGCAGAAGTTATGAGTCATAGTTATAGAAAAAAACTAATCTAAAAGAATGAAAGTATTATTTTGAAAACTTCACGCAAAACTCGTTTACAGTGGCGACTCTTTTTTATTGAGTCGGTATGCTTCATTCTGACTACTTCAATAGACGTCACTGTTATACAATTAAACGTCCGTTTCAATCAAGAGAAAAGAATACTGCTTTAAGCGACTTTAATGCACCTTACATGTACTTTATGTCTATTTCAATTATGGTAACATTTCTGTCAATTGCTCATCAGTTTGGTTTCACTCCACGTCAATTGACTATATTGTACTTGAAATTTGAACGACAATAAAGTAAATTGAAGTCTGATTGAAATAGAATTAAGTAGGATAAAGTCAACCTGATATACATTAAAAAAATGCGATGAATAATAAACCCTCAAAAAAGTAAATAAGGGCTTGTGTCCTGTTGCAAACTGATATACCCTTGTACTAGTCTCTGTCTTGATAAACTCTTTTTGCATAGATTAACAAAACCAACTCTCAAATAGTGCATTCATTATAGAGGATAATAAACTCTGTATTTGAGAGTACATTGTATTGATCGATGCAAAAGTGGTTTATTAGTAGGAGTTCATTGGGAATTTTGATTCCCGGCAAATTCAAACTAAATCGACACTCTATATAAAATTCAATAAAGATATTAGATCCACTCGAAGTATATGCATTTTGTATGTTTAGCGGAATAGAGGAATAGTGGACTAGATGAATAACGGTATAGCGGAATAGTGGCATAGCGATATTGTGAAAGTTGTGAGTATCGTAATAGTAACATGTATTACTAAGCGCTAGGTCTACTGTGTACACATTTTCCAAACCCTCACTCGATCCCATACCTTAATTATGGTGAATGTTACCTAAGGATTTTCTATTTTAATGAATCATGAATTAAACATTTGTTTTCAAAAATAATCGTGGTCTAAACTTTTTAAAATCCTATGTCATAAATATTAACCAGAAAAATTATCGAAATATGCTATACCGCAATTCCGCTATACCACTACTCCGCTAATCTGGCGTGAGGTGTGGGTGCGGATGTGGATATTGTATCATTATACGTCCACACCCACACCCTCAATTTATATGCTATTTGATAGAGAATTAAATTCTGAACAAAAACTGTATGATTTCTTTTCGAATAAAACCTAGAAATTGAGTATATAAAATCTATAACACCGAAAACAAGTGTCCATATACAGGTTTTTCTGAAACTTTGTATCAAAAAATCAGCGAAACGATCCTAACTCTGGAAGAAAGCTCTAAGGCCACTTATTCTTCTGAAAACTTTCTAGTCTCAATTGGTTCTACTTATGGGTAAAATATTACTTCAAAAGCTATTGATCAGTTGGGAGGGGTTCTCCCGTGATTTTTTGTCTTGATTTCAAATCTTGTATTTTTATTCTAAATTGGTCGAGTTTTAGTATAAAAAGGTACAGATAAAGCATTCTAATGCATATTGTGCGGGTATATGTTAGCTAATAAGACGAAGACATACTTTTTGCAATCTCTTGCCTAAGCACCTTTGTGGCTCTATATAATTAGTATAATCGATGAAAGTTTCATGTAAACCTGTCCCTGCTTTCTAATTGAGCCGAAATCAACCAAAATCCGCTCCTCGTCCTTTAGCTAAACAAAATATTAAGAAAAAATCTATTCCTACCGATAATAAAAACAACTATTCAACTGCAAACACATAGGTAAATTTATTGTTGTTTTCGCTTCGCTAATATTTTCGCAAGACTTGAGAAATCGATCATGCGCGAAAAACAATACGCTAAATAAAGCAAAGCTTGATTTCATTTTGCTTGTAATAACGTCCAGTAATGTTAAACGAAGTACGTATAGTATGCTTGATGTATTGCTACTGTTTTGGTGAAGAAGAATCAATTTTTCTATTTTAATTTTAATATTTGATGGTTTTATTTATTAGAATGAAAATAATGTTTTTTCTTGCATATCGAAAATTACACGTGAACGACGTGCAGTAGCATTAGGACAGCGTGGAGCGTATCGAGGGTCGACTGTTTGGTTAACTGGTGAATATATTGATTTGACTTAAATTTTTTTTTCATATTAACATTTTGTTTCAATTAGGACTTTCTGGTGCTGGAAAATCGACGATAGCGTAAGAGAAAATATATAATTTTTTTATTTCTGTTGGATAATTTCTTTTTAAAGTTTTGCATTAGAAGAATATATAGTAAGCAAAGGTCTACCAGCTTATTGTCTCGATGGTGATAATATTCGATGTGGTCTTAATAAAAATCTTGGATTTTCTGATGCAGATCGTGTTGAAAATATTCGACGAATTGCCGAAGTTGCAAAATTATTCGCTGATGCTGGTTTGATGTGTATTGTTGCTTTTATTAGTCCATTTGAAGAAGTAACAGTTTTAATAAAATTTGAAAAAAAAGCTAAGGATAAACAATTTAATAGGATCGAGAATGTGCGAGACGTCTACATGAAAATTCACAAATTCCATTTATTGAAGTTTTTGTAAGCACACCTTTGTCTGTATGTGAAGCGCGAGATGTGAAAGGGTTATATAAAAAAGCACGAACTGGATTAATTGAAGGTTTATACATTTAATTTTTTTTTTCTGTTGACATGAAGCAATCTATTTAGGTTTTACGGGTATTGGTGCACCGTATGAATCACCATCGAATCCTGATTTGATAATCGATACAAGTGTGATGCCAGTCGATCGTTCTGTTGAAACGATTATAGGAAAATTGGCTGAACTTGTAAGTTTATTTAAATTTATGTAAAATAAGTTTCTTAGTAGGACATATGAGAGATCAGAATCATAAGATAATAGTTGCTCAAACTGAAACTAAAGTTTGCCGATGGGTTTTTTATGGTTTGAATGAAGTATCTTAGACATCATGCCAAATAAAACAAAAATCGAGGATTAGACAATATTCCCGATAGCGAGGAATTGTCCCATTTCTTGCAAAAATGCTTTACCCTTCGCAGAGTCAAATATAAGTGTTTTCCTACAACAAAAGTGAAGGAAGTTTTAATGGGGAAAACTTTTTCATCTATTTCGACCTTTACAAGAAGACATGAGTAGTTCTCATATGCAAACTCTAGAATAGATGGCCGATAAAATTTATATTCTCAGACTGCAGTAGAGTACTACACGGTTCTACTTTTTCTCATCCCGATCCGAACCGGCAGGCATTTATAAATATAACCCATGTCATCAAAATCACCTAGGTTTGGCTACTCACTCCCCCACATCCATCCATACCCACACTCTCCACTGAGTTTTGATTGATTTAGTTATATATTAGTTGCAGATTTAGAGAAACACTGAAAGTGGTACACATATCACGCTCGACATCAAAGGTGTAGTCACGATTTTATCAAAAGATCAACGATTAATCGTGATTCCATCATTAAATCACCGGTTAATCCTCACCAACCGATTGCCGGCACCGGTTCCATCTCTGATTTATAGCAATAATGAGATTTCTTGCTATCTTATATATTTTGAATTTCAAGTATAATCATCTTTTACATTTAGAATATTTTATCATCTACATTAATTCTTCCAGTACATGAACTTTTTATGACTGAACATATTCGTGAAAAAGCCTTACAAGAATTTCCAAATTTAAATAAATTGGAGATTACTGAAGTAAAATAATAATTTTGAGACAAAATATTTCATATTTTGTTTGTTTTTAGTTAGATTTACAATGGATTCAAGTATTAAGTGAAGGTTGGGCAACTCCTCTCGGTGGATTTATGCGTGAAACAGAATATTTACAATGTTTACATTTTGGTTGTTTAATGAAAGGTAAATATTTGTGGTGTATAAATTGATCTTTTTTATTTGTCATTAAAACGAAAAGGTCATATTGAAAACCAAACAATTCCCATTATTTTACCATGTGCAACTGAAGATAAAGAACGTTTAAAAACATCATCTACAATCGCTCTTTGCTATAATGAAAAACTTGTTGCTCTTTTAAAAAAACCCGAATTTTATGAACATAGAAAAGAAGAACGATGCGCAAGGATTTTCGGTACTACAAATCCTGAACATCCACATATTAAAGTAAACAAATCTAGTTTCTTATTCAATAATATTAATGTAGGGTGAGTGTGGGTAATGTAGGCGAGAGAATGAATATTGGTCTAGCATTTACCTGTCATTCACCCATATCCTCACATCCACATCCACACTTAATTATATATTAATTTCTATTTAATGTAGATGATTCTTGAAAGTGGTGATTGGTTAATTGGTGGAGATCTTGAAGTATTAGAAAGAATTCGATGGAATGACGGACTCGATCAATTTCGTTTAACACCTAATGAATTACGACAACGTTTTCGTGGCATAAAAGTAAAAAAACAATCATATTTTTCAATAAATATCTGTAGTTTTAATTCATCAGGCCGATGCAGTATTTGCTTTTCAACTTCGAAATCCAATTCATAATGGACATTCACTTCTTATGCAAACAACACGTCAACTATTGATCGATGGTGGTTTTCAAAATCCTGTTCTTCTTCTTCATCCATTAGGTATGTATCAAGACTCTGTATGGGGTCGAATAAATGAAAAAAATCGGCTCATCGAATAGGATAGCTATAAAAATTGTTTTCATCGCATGAGATCGGATGACCACGTACTTTTCTCCCTCACTCCATCACATGAAACAGCTCATTCTTGAAATATCGTCTGAAAAACAATAAACCATTGTCACGAAAACGCTAAATAATACACTCTCAAATGTGTGTCATATACTCTTTCTACCAAAATCGCTTCCGTTCATAAACTCTTCAAAGTTTTATGGAACATATTTCAGGGTATTCCTTCTATAGCGATGTTCTATTATCGATTAAAATTCTGGATTAACTCCAATAATAATCAAATTAAATGTTTTTCTTTGCTTTCATTAAAGCACATATTCCTTCACAGCATATATCAAATATATGTAAAACAATATTAACATACTCTCTTTGTACCGAATTGACTGGCACAGCATTCTATTATATCTACTTAATCAAACTATCGGTGGTAGCGCTCTATTTTGATTGGCCTTGTATTATATGATGATGTGCTACTCTTTTGGATATGGCGACAGGGGGAGCGGATGAAGACGATCTTTACAATTTAACGAGATTGAATCGCCTTATCCCACATAGAGTGCTGACCAATATTGATTACACTTTTCTATTCAATAATCTTAATATTTCTTCTTATAGGTGGTTGGACAAAAGAAGATGATGTTCCATTGCCTGTACGTATGGCACAACATCAAGCTTTTTTAAATGAAGATGAAGATGACAGACTTGATCGTTCTCGAACTGTTCTTGCTATATTTCCATCCCCGATGAGTTATGCAGGTCCTACTGAAGTACAATGGCATGCGAAATCTCGTATGTGTACTGGTGCCCGTTTTTATATTGTTGGCCGTGATCCAGCTGGCTTACCGCATCCATCGGATAAATCCAAAGATCTTTATGATTCAACACATGGTTCAAAAGTTTTGACAATGGCGCCAGGTCTTAATGAATTACAGATCTTACCATTTAAAGTTGCTGCTTATAATCGTGTTTTAAAAAATATGACTTTTTATGATCCAAATAAGCATAATGAATATGATTTTATATCTGGTACACGAATGAGAAAGATTGCTCGTAATGGTGAACAACCACCTGAAGGATTCATGGTACCAGCAGGATGGAAAGTATTATCTACTTATTATCAATCATTAGGAGCAACATCTTAAATAATTCATTTTTTATAATCGTTACTTTTACTTGATACGTACTTTAGTTTTTACTCGCTTGCTCATGATTATTTTTCTCCTCGTATGTAGTTTTCAAAAGAATAACTTTAATAAAAATAAGCAGTGATATAGATATATACATAATCGAATACAATTATAAGAAATAAATATTATTTTATCCAACTGTCCTCTGTTTTTTATTATACAATTATTTGACTCACACAAAATATTTTAAGAAACTTTTGATTGTGATAAAGTCAGACTCTTGTTAAATAGATTTCTGTTCTTTAAAACATCTCTCCACGTCTATATGAGTGTAGCTTTGAAGAGTTATAGTAACCCAAATCGACACCTATCTCTTTATGACGTTAACGATGGTTATAACTATCAATAAGGATTATCAGCTACAGTTCCATTTATAGCTATCGACTGTAGCCATAATTTTCGGCCGTAGTCATTTTGATAGTAAATTCTATTGACTATAACTAGTCTCCTTTTAATTACTAATCAATATAATTTGTAACATTGTTAATGACTTCTTTAGACTAACTACAACTATTAGTTACATTCGTGTTCATAATTGAGATATGTAACATTGACAATGTGACATAGTTTAATACTCTTCCTGAACAATGTAACAAGCATTTCTCATTGCCTTTAACTTATAAATAATATAATGATTACATCTCATATCCTTTCAATCTTTTCTTCCTCTCTTGATTTCTTTAATTCTCTGGTTCTCTTCTTTATTTATTAACACGATAACAAAGAATACAATGCTATACGTACTAATATAAGTAATAATAAAGATATAAAAGTAAGCAGAGAATAACTTGACATAGCGAATTCGTATTAAAACTAAAACTCATGTAATTATGTATATTGAGAGAAAATTATATCTTGCTTTGGATATAACAGATATTAAAGTTGACTGATATTTTGTAGAATTTAGAATAAGAATCGGATGAGATAAGAATTAAGCATAAGTATACTTATACTCAATCATAAAAAAATTGATTTCAGGAGGAAACTTTTCCAAAATTCGCGATGACTATCTGAGAAAATGGATTTTACAGAAAATAGTTACTAAACCAAAGGACATATAATGGTGAGGCAGAATGCCTCTATCTACCACCCCTGATATGCATTCGGCCTGATAAGACAAAAGATTTTTGAGGTGGTTGATCAATTTTTAAGAACCTTATATGTTGCCTTTTTTGTCGAAAAAACTTGACCAAGGGATGTGGACTGATGACGGGCAAAGTTACTAGAGACTGATCGTTGCGATACAGACAAGATCAATTAATTAAATGATTGAAGAAAGCATCAGTTTCAGTAATCATATTACATATCACTAGCTGAGTTCACTTTTATAACAATCAATTTTATTTGTCAAATAGAAGTCAGAATAATATGTCACTTTGAAGAAAAAAAAATCACTGTCGATGTCGTCGTTCGATAATCATCTTAATAGGAACCAAAGGTCGTAGAATCATATCTGCAGACAAATGAAGTTCATCGATAGTCTGCGTGGAGCGAAACGAGAAGTGACGAAACAATGTTGATAGTATGACTTTCTCTTCGAATCCGGCAAAGCGTTGACCTATTGAATAGTGATAAATATTTATAATGTGTGTGTGTGTGTATGTGGAGAAGAAAACTACTGACCGATACAATTACGAGATCCAACTGAGAATGGAATAAAACCATAAGGAGACCAATCCTTTGATCTTTCCGCACTTGCGCTAAATCGATCCGGATCGAATTTGTCTGGATCTGGAAAGACACTTGGATCTTGGTGAATACCAGGCAGGAATACTACCACAGTGGTACCTTTGCGAATTGTTTCACCTCCTATAATAACAGAATTTCACATGTTTTCTTCTCTTTGACTTTTCATTTTGGAAGTCCTGTTTCAAAAACGATTCAACTTACGATAGACAAAGTCTTCTTGAATTTCTCGACCAATTAGTGGAACAGGTGGAAAAAGACGCATAGATTCCTATTTAAATGCACAAAAATTATGTGACACAGTTCAACGATAAACCATTACGTACTTTAATGACACTTTCAAGATAGGTCATATGATAAGTATCTTCCATTGTGCAAGCTCTTTCGAAATCATCTTTAAAATAGTAAAAAATATTTTCTTAACTGATTGAATAAAGAACAAAAATACCAGCAAAAATGGCATCGATTTCTGCCTGCACTTTAGCTTGAACATCAGGATATGAACCAATGAGATAGCACGTGTAATTAATGGCATTTGCTGTCGTATCGTGGCCCTATTTTAACGAGACCTATAATATAAATGTGTGGAAAATGAAACTGAGACAAACTTCGAGTATGAATCCATCGACTTCTTCTTGAATGTCATCCATTGACAGTTGTTCAGCGTGCATTTGACTAATAAGATTATCGAGAAAGACCAGCGGACGCCTATTCTTCTTTTCACTGTTGCCTTTCGCTTGCTCAGCATTGAATGTAGCCAGACGATGTTGAATAATCTATCAAAAGATTATAAATATAAGACTAAACAAATATGAAATACCTCTCGAGAGAAGCCATGAAGAATTTTTAATAGTTGATTATGCTCTCGACCTGATGGGAGTCGATTGAAGATGAACGCAGGCCACAACCATGGAGATCGCATGCGTACATGTACTATACGAGCCACACTAGCAAATATAATTTATGTAAAACAGTGTTCTCATAATTTTAACAAGTTTTCAAACATCATATGAATCCCCGGTTGATTATTTACAACAACGTGAAATTATTTGCCTATTTTCATGGCAAATCTCCAGGAAAAACACTCGTATCTATAAAATCCGCTAAAATGGTATGTGTGTGTGTGTGTGTGTGTGGGAATATCTGCAACAGAACACACTCACATCCTGAGTGGATTTCCTAGATACGTGCGTTTTTCCCTGGAGATTTCCCATAAAAATATCCTTATTCCTACCGGCCGGTTGCGTCAACAAAATCGTTATTGATGTCGAGGGCCAGGCTTTTTTGGGCTCCCGCATTTTTTCCCATTGCCGATTCTAGAATTGATTTAATAAAAGCTTAATTCTTTGTATGTTGAGACCTACCAGTAATGATATCGAGTGTGCATGCAGATATGGATTCATAGAGATCACGTGGTTGGCCTTTATCCTTTCGAATACATTCATCGTAATATTGAACAAGAATACGTGATTGATTATCGAAGATGGTCATACAATTGTGTAGCAAGTTAGTGTCATGAAACGATGGAGTTATTAAACGACGGCGACTACGCCACTTGGCGTCTTTACTATTGAACATATCGTGCACATATATAGTACATATTAATAGGGTTAACTACATACCTGATAAGCAGAGCATTCTTCAACCAGGGTTGGAGAAATGTGTAGCCAAAAGATTTTCCTAGTTGTTTAGGGCTGTTTATAAACGTCTACAAAAACAAACATGTTGACACGAAAGTTGCCAATAATCTTACTTCAAGTCCTTGTCCTTTGCATAAGAAGACTATCGGCCAGTGTGCATACCAGAGACAGAAGAGACCCTTGTCTTGTTCTTGACATTCTTTGGCCATTTTACAAAGAAATTGATAGAAAACATCTGTGCGCCGGTCAAGTTGATGCAAATTGCCAACGAATGGAATACGCGAAATAGGTAGAGATGGTATCGACCGATAGTCTCGTCGCAATTGCGAATATCGCATAAAGATAATAAACGTGTAGACCAGAAAAACGACAACAAGAATCAAAGCCAGTAGGGACAACAACATCGTTATAGTTGACGGTGATTAATGCACGTGACAACGATGATGATTCGTCTATACAAAAGAAAAAGAGAAATGCAATAAGTCATGCTAAGGTGAGTATATGCTCTGTGTAATTGATTCCACCAGGATCCCACTAAAGTTTACATAACACTTGAAGAAATTTGGGTACCTACCTCACTAAATATATAATCCCAAACGTTAGCCAGTTTGCAGTTGGAGTAATAACTGGTCTGAACCGATTACTGCTAGGACGGTTACAGGTATAGAAGAGTTACTGCTTCACACCGATTTCTGGTAGAACGTTTACCGATTAGATCGTGTATTGTCACTGTTGCAATCCTATCTGTAGCTATTTAATTATATCTTCAGCTATTTATCCTTTCCGATGATCTCTAATGACTAGCTGTTTAATACATATCTTCAGTTACTTAGTTATTATGACTGAATTCTTTCGACGAAGAAATGGGATGAAATGGATACATATGAATGAAGTTACAATCTCGGCACGTAAACGTTTAAAATGATCAAAGTTTCGTTTGCATATAAAAGGTCGATATGTGTTAATAGACTTATGCCATATCTGATTGGTTAAAAATAGGATTCAAAGAAGCTCATGGACTACAGAAAAAGTGCTAACAACAGTTGGTTGATCAGAAGTGCTAACCAAAAGTCTCTGACCGAATATAAGCAGAATAAGAGACGAGCATTGTTAACGGCGACAATTCACTTAGGTCAGTCATATCTATGTTTTTTTCTCTAAGTTTTCATGAAACTTACCTGTTTGATCTGAAGAAAGTAACCCAAGTGGCTTGTTTGGTGTTAGAAAGTGATATGAGCTTAAATGCTTGAAAATGTGAGCTTTTATAGTCGAATAGTTCGGATGCGTCACGGTTATTGCGTCGCAGATGCGAATTTAGCTGCGCTACAATAATCGTATCCTCTTCCTTTGATAAAATCTGTGATCGTTGCGTCGTATTTACGCGTAATTGCGACACAAAATGACCACTACGCATAACTGCGACGCAGTCTTAAAAAACGTAGTGGCATGAGATCTGAAGTCAAAATATATTTCAAAAAAGATAAAATTATTCAAAAACATATCAATATAAGGTGCCAGCAATGCAAAATTGCAGCAGTTCTTTTCATTTGTTTTATAATCTAATTACATAATTTATGCGAAATAGGCTGGGTGAGAATGGTGAAATCATTAAAATCAAAACTATGCAGTGGTGATAGTCTTCTGACAGTAAGCGTCAATTCATATTATTCGAAAAAGAAGCTGTCTATGTCACATAATATCTCAAGTTGTACTCCTTAAAACCATTAGGAATCAAGTCAGACTTAACTTCCAAATAAATAATTAACGTCCATCGCGTACCGATTCACTCAGCCGTACACTGATCAAATACACATACTGATACAGTCTCCTTCACTTATGTCTGTTAGTTAGAAAAGGTAGTGGACAAAAGTGAAACTACGATACGCATATTATAAACGATTAAAACAGTTATTTCTATTTTGACATTATACAGTATAGCGATTGATTAGTTATGAACTCGATATTTTTCTTGAATATTTGAGCCTTCTTAAAAAATGCAAACAGCGCCAATAGAACTAGACAACAAAATGAATTTTATATAACTGTATGGGCGTTATTTTTAATTGAAAAAAAATCATATTATTGATAACATATAAATTTTGTCAGCTATAATTATATCTGCAAATTATCTGATGAATTTCGTTTGATTAATTATCTACGCACCCCTCTATGTTTATACAGCATTAATCTGTCAATTAAACGTTTTTAAACAATTTAGAAATATTTTTTACTCAGGCGATAGGCGCGACTGTTTTTGAACTATGTTAATGATGGATAGATAGGCACATGTAAATTACTATTCATAGAATAATCTTACGGTCTGTTGAATACGATCAATTGTACCATAGCTATATGGTCATTTTAGTCATGTTTCTGATAAAGTGACATAAAGACACCGGTAATTTTCCGTTTCTCGACTCTATCCTTATAGTCTGGGGAATATATTCTTTGGCCACATTTTAAAAAAAATATTATTTTGATCAGCTCTTATTCCATTTGATTAAAAAACCTATCGAGCTTCCCTTCACAGCAAGAATCAGTTTCTTTATCATATCTATCGCAATAATTTGATTTTTTTCCCAAGAATTAAGTCTAATAATCAATTCTTTTAGACACAATAGTATATATATTACGACTCCTTTTTTGCAGTAAGTGGAGCTTTCGTCAAAAAAATACTTATTAAGAACATTCATTTTTTGTAAGAACCTATTCGTTGGAATTCTTTGTCACATTTGAGATACAATCGGATTAGCGACGTAATTATACGAGATATGCATCACACAATAACAAAACGTTTTGTAAAAAAAACTTGTTTTAGTCCTAAAGCTCTCATGCTCGAGTGTCATTCGAGTGTTCTGTAGCGACGAAGGAATCTCAAAAGCCAACTTCGGATTTGTATTTCTCTGATATCTTTGTCGTTCTGGCATTAAAGAATTTCCAACCGCCATTCTCTACTATTTTGTTTATTCAATTGATGCCAAGAGAAATCAGATTTGCATAACTTTTATTTTAATTGCAAAGAAAATATAATAAAAATGTTTTCTAATTCCGATCGGCATATGCCAGTGTCTAGCTGTGTAAAATAAAAAGATTAGGTCTCTTCTACGCGTTACAAGCAAAGCTTTAATAGTAAAAAACATATAAGAACAAGAATGCTAACTACTAGAAGTGGCTTAAATAATATTTGGTAAGAAAAAGTCGATAATGAGAAAAGTTAATTAGACTTGTTGAAATGATTCGTTGTTCGAAGAAGGCTAGTTGCTGTTAGTACTAGCAATATCGGTAGATGATGAGCACTGAAATAAATTGATATAATCAGTGTACCGTGTCTCAATGTCTTCGTGCGTGAGCTCGCAGTCCACCAGGCTATAACTGTGACGACCTTGCTTGCCTTGAGGGTTGTTGCTAAGCCAAGCCTGCATGGCTCCTTCGAATTCATCCGACCAGCGAAGACCAAAATAATCATAGATGCGACGCACAGTGGCGATTGGTTGCTCCATCAAATCATTGTAGGCAACGTCAAAAAGGTTCTTGCGCTTTTGATCATGCATACGGTCTAGACGAGTGCGAAACTCTACCATGCATTCAACCGCTTTATCAATGAATTGTAGAGTTTGTTTCTTTATTGTATTTCGACTGGCGGCGTCTCTTTTGTCGAGATAAATTGATCCAAGAGACCATGCTGTACTACATAACGAAGGCAAGACTTCATCGAGACACCGATGGGTCACGATTATTGCCGCGTTCGGGTAATGTTGAAGGATTGTGTCTTGTTTGAAACAATGCACGGGTGCCTTCAATACCCAATGAGAACGTGGCGCATCAACAGAATTCAACATGCGCAAGAACACCTCATGATAGTCATATGCAAAATCTTTGTTCAGTTCTTCAAGAAGCCAAGTATCATCATCAGATACTGGATCAGATGTTATCATCGTGAAGAAGGGAAGAAAACTTGCTTGCCGCAGGATATGGTAATCTTCTTCAATTGGAAAAACTGGATGAGAAGCAATAATTTGGTTTCTTTGAGTTACGAATGATGTATCTTGCTGCATCGACAACTGCAATGCGGTCATTCGTTTCTTCTGTTCAACCGCATTTGATCGTGAGATAGGTGGAACAATCTCGACACACATATCCGTGAATAGTGGAGAGCGGCAATCAGGATCACAGGCTAGTAGATTCTGGAGCAATGTCGACCCTGTGCGTGGAAGGCCACAGATAATCAATGGGCCAAGCGGTGGTAAATTACCATTAAGAAGTTCATTGTGCTCTGCCATATAATTGAGAACTCGTTTGCAATTTGTATGCATTTTACCAACACCAGCTAAAGCTCCATGTTTACCCGTACTTGTCATATGTTCATTAGAAAGTATGCTTCGACGATATAATTCAAACGCGTGCAAAATTTTACTATGATAGCCGAAACAGCTCTTGGCTTTTTCGGTCAGATCATTTTCATGTAGAATAATATCATCTAACAGCGATGGATGCTCCATAGTAGCTTGATCAGGTGTAGTGCTCATTTTAGTCAATACGTCAGCTTACTAAATCAATTGAGTGTTGTTCGTGCAGAATTTGAGACACGGAATGTCAATAATACTAGATCTACAAAAAGGAATTATAGAGATTTATGTTATAAGAATGCATAAGATAACAAGAAAAATATCCAGTATCTTTCAAGGTATCCTGACACGTAGGGCACCTATTTGTAACTATCTATGTAAAATGTAGCTGCTTTATATATAGAGCTATAGGACAAGCAGCGTTACTCGTAGTATGTGACAGAACGAAGAAAAATATGTTCTAAATGAGGCTTGAAACTTAATATAAGAAAAAGTGTCATTGCTT